TTACATGCATGTGTAAGCTTTTTAAAAATGAATACAGCAGGAGCAAACCGTGACTAGTACATAGCAGAGATGTGAATGTTTGTGAGTATTCAATGAAACTAAGCAACATAATATTGACTAGTGCCTGGTGATCAGTTTTTTAAATATACTAGTTCTGGCTGATAAGGACTGGTTATCTTTTTGTTAGTAATGCAATTAAATGGTACGATTCTCTCTTTGGGTTGTATCTTACACATCTTAAATATTTTAGTTAATTTTCTAGCATTGATTTATAAATTGCATGTATATTTCCATATTATATCACACTTTGTGTACAACATAACCTCGATTTTGGTGTCTTGTAGACGAATTCCAAATCAAAACTGAATGAGTCCTGGGGTTCTTCAAACCAACTGGTTATGCCCAAGCCTCCTGCTAACTGCATTGTAAGAGTAGTAACTTAATTCTAAACCTCGTCATTTATTCACTTTTCTACTTATGACCGGTCAAATACAGGTCTTCATAATGTCAAACTATTATCTAATGCCTCATGTTTTCAAGATTTTAATATAATTTAGTCTGATGGAAATTTAGATATATGACTTATTATTTGTTTATTGAATTCTCAGTGCATTTCCTATTCATCAATCTCATTCGCTGAATTAAATGAATTAAAACTTCACCCCATTGCACAAGGTAGTGACTATATGGACTCAGTAGCTAAATGAATAACGCGATGGTGTTTGAAGCGAACGGTACTGGGCTCGAGTCTCGATAGTGAATATTAACTTTGAGATACATGTACATCCATCTGACAAGTCCCAAATAGGACGAAACGTGCGTCCTAGATTGCAGTGCTAGCCACCATCCATCTCTGCTTATAATTTCCTATCAGGTTTTGATCATTTTAACACAAGATTACTGCTTATTAAATCCATTCTTTTGAATAATAATGATGACAAGTATAATTCTCGTATTTGAAATCAGACGAATAATGGTACTTATCGACTGGCTTTAAGCTTTGAAATCCCTTGAAAGTCGTAGTTCAGTAAAAAATGTGTGTTGCACCTGTTTGCCGATCCTATCAAGCCTCCAATCGATTGGAGCTAGGTTGGGTACTGGCTTAGTGGTCTAAATGTTAAACGCTTGGTACCAGAACTTGGTGTCATGCGTTAGATCCGCGGTGGTGGTCTTATGGATGAACCCTACTTAGGAGTTATATACTCGGAGAAAACAGCTATCCAATCTTTATTGGTTTTTAATAGCTGTCTAACTAACATTAGTTCTTTTTGTAAATTATGTACAGTAGACGTTGAAATTCATTGAAATATATTAAGAAAATTGATGACTATCGCTTGATCTTGTTGTTAATTGTTCAAAGCGGCCAAAAAGAAACCTAGTTTCATTGCACTGTTAAAAATAGCTGTTAATTCGATTTATTTATTTATTTATTTTAACACATAGGTATAGGTACAAGGAGGCACCAAATACATATGCGCCACACGAATCTCAATTGATTTGTGTGAGGGCTGTGATACTGCCCGGGTGCCCAAACCGAAGCAGGTGGTTTTCTTAGGGGGCCACACCCCGAGCCTTTGACCTGAAGATCTGGTCCACAAGGCAGTGGAGCATCGTGAGGAGATGCAGTCCCATGGTAGCCGGTGACCAACGATTGGTTCATACGCCATTTGTTCCTTCAGGATACTGGAGCCCATGTGCACCATTGGTTTGGGATCCGGTTAAAGCGCCGGAAATTCGCTTTTCGTCCTCTCATTTTTGTAAACAACACCCCCGCCACGAGAAGGCAGTGAGTAGGACTTCCCTGGCAGAGGCTATATACGCATGGCCATGTGAGAGCATTTCGAGAGGGAGAGCGGACTCTCCCCACTCTCGGCCGTACCAGGGCATTTGGGGGCAGGGCGTATATATATATATCACTAATATGAGTGAATGTATTGAACAGATCGGCCAATAAAACAGTTGTTATATTAGCAGTAAAGACTGTTTATACAAAAAGTTTACTTTTATTGTTACTCATAGAGATTTAATATTCCTAGGTCCAATGTTAATCTACCGTATCCGGAGATTAATTCGTCGTTTTACATAAAAAATTATTTTAGTGGTCTCAGAATCCCGACAACCTTCCTATTGTGGATGTAGTTTTAGAGTCAAAGTTTGCTTCACGTCTACAGCCGCATCAATGTGAAGGTATTATTTTCTTGTATAAATGTTTAATGGGATTTCAACCGTATGTTGCTTTGAATGAATCTGATGTACAAAGTACTTATGGATGCATCTTAGCGTGAGTTTTAACTTTTTTGGTCTAAGTATTGACCCCACGTCAAAGACGATCTTTATCTATATTTTTGTACTGACAAACATTTTTCGATCGTGTTCCTTGCAGGAAAAATAACCTGTATTACAATATTAATATACTGTGCAGGTCCACCATAATTCTTGATTAATGTTTCGTACTAATTTAATCCCCTTTCAGCGAAAATATCAAAAACTACGTATTTTGAATTTTAAATCTTGTTACTTGGTATCAATATTTTATATACATAACAATCTAGTCGTTAAAATCATATATGGGTACTTAATATTGTAGTACGATAAATTAATCGGCATAATTAGCCTCAACATGAAAAGTATGGTACCGTTGTGTAGTACACAAATCAACGAGTAATTATTGCTGATTTATATTTTTATTAATGCCTTATTGCATTAAGATTTATTCAGATTCGAAAAGCTCGTTTGGCTTTTGCCAATTTACGTCACCTATGACGAAGGTGAGATATCCGTCTATCAATTAAGGGGCGAGTATACTGCGCAGCAGTTCGTTCTGTTTTACTTTTGTGACGACGGACCACGGATGAACTCGAGGAAGCTATAAGAGGTTCAGAAGGAGCCGAAGATATTCCATCCAATCACCGTTAGGAAGGATATTTTAGAATCCCTACGTGTAGCTTCCCGATTGGACAAGGCTAATAACCCCCTGTATGCTGATTGGAGGACTATAATGATGATTTTTATTCTTACTAAAACTATAAATACCTGACAATTTGTACCCATAATTGACACTGTTTGGAATAACATTCCTTTCACTAGTCTTCTGTCTTTTCTTTGCGACTTGGAAGGGTTTGGGCGTTCGTGTGTTCAGTTGTACGCGTTATATCAAGTAAATCAACCATTTCTAGATATAACAACTTTACGGCTGCGAAACGTGGCCACTAAGAGTAGAAGATATTCGTAAGCTACTAGTATTTGATCAATGATGTCTTAGAAATATTACTCGCATCTTCTGGGATCACCGGGTAAGTAATAGTGAGGTTAGGCGTAAGGTATTAGAGAATGATGGCAAATCAGTTGATGAGGCTAAGAATCTTCATCGACTGAGATGGTTGAGCCATGTTGGTGGTAGATGCAGACTACTTGTTTGGGGTCCGTGTGACCATCGTAACCAATGGTTGGAGACTGTGGGTGACATGGCTGAGAATCGATCACAATGGCGTCGGTGTATACACTCTCTGTCTCCACTTAAACTGTGAGATTAAAATCGCTTCATATCTTTCTTTCTAGGAACTAATTCTTTCTTCCTGTACTATATGCTTATATGCTATCTTTCTTTTATATATTATCACCACTGAATTAACTACTTCTATGAATCCGGTGTTCATCTTGTTGTGCTAGTGATGTATTGTAACTTGGACCGATGCACATATGTGCCTGATCCTACGTTGTAGCTGACTGACTGACTTACGATTTATCGGTCTGTAAGATACTACTGTACTGTATTATTAACACAGAATACATTTGGTGGTGTTTAATTAGCCTGTATCAGACTATGCAAGTGTATTTTCTTGACATTCTTAAAGCTATATTTATCCTACTATGCTCTATCTCAACTACAACACATTACCATTGCTATTATATTCATTATGTAAATTAGAAGGTAACGTCATTCTTAATAAGTTTTTGTTAATTTATTAGGGATGAAATGGGTCTTGGTAAGACAGTTCAAGCTATTGCCACTATTTGGTTATTAATTAAACAAGGACCGTACGGAGGTAGACCGGTTATTCGACGTTGCCTTATTGTAACTCCAGGTACACTTGTTCAGGTAATTTTATTAATAATTTTTAAAATACAACTTAATCTTATTAATATTTTTCGGCCTTTATCATATATTCTGCCTTTCCTCTCTTATTCACATCATGTTAGAATTGGTTAAAGGAATTCTCCAAATGGTTAGGTCGTGAACAGTTACCCGTGTATTGTGTAGATCAAAATCATTCTGTTAAAGTGAGTTTTTACTTGATTATGTCCTATTATTCTGTTTCTGATTATTTGTAGAATAATTTGATTATTATTGAGAATCATGTAAACAGTATATGTAGAGCTAGTTGCTTAGCGGTTAAACAATCGGACTTTCAACAACTTATTTACGTGTTTGATCCTTGCTCTATCTACTTCGATTTGAGCAGCCAAGCAATATAATTAACACTCATGCTTAGTATGGTTCAAAAATTGAACATATGAACTATAAATAAATTACCTAAACAGTTTTATCTATATTTTTATTTTGATGACTTTTGTCTCTTTCTGGTCCTAAAGTTTCACGTTATGACAAGTGGCCATTTCGTTTACATGTGACTGGAATGTCATCTGTAACGCATCCTAAAACCAGTAACATTTTTATAACAACATAGAAAAATTCTTTATAACCATTTGTAATTTTTCGTGTCGATATTCAGGATCAATCTCTTACCATATCTGCATCGTGAGTTTGAGTCTCAATGTACATGTCAAAACCACGATGCAGGTACGTTCAACTGACGAGTCGCAAACTGGTCAAAACGCGCCTCCTGAATTTCGCTGCTCCTCAAAATCCATCTTCTCTATAAGGCTTGTGACAAAATCACTGTATCAAGGCGATCTGTATTTATCACATTCACATATTCCAACAAGAATTGATCAAAATTTTGTTCTATATATCAACAATGGGATAACTAAAACTTGTAATAATGGTAATATAAACAACAGTTTTTGTTGAATTTTTTCATTATTTCCCACCTTTCTTTATCGGCAACTGATTTTTTTCCTATTTTTTTCTTGCAGGACTACCTAACAATGTCCAGTGATTCACCGCGGGTTATTCTTATGTCGTATGAAATGTTTCTACAGCATACTAGTGAAATCTATGAAATTTCCGACTTGGATATGGTTGTATGTGACGAAGGGCATAGATTGAAAAATTCCAATATCAATACAACTATGGTAGGTTGTTTGGAATCGTTTGTTTATTGGTACACAGAATATGTAATATAACGATGGATCATTATATACATATTTTAGTCGATAAATTATTTGTCAGTCTGTTATTGCATAGGTTGGCTTGTGCAGACTACTAGCAATAAACACTAGATCACGTTACTTGATTATGTGATCCGTACAATCACTCAATGAAACAACCCTTCAATCATGTTCAGGCCTCAAACACGAGGTTATTGATGCAGGTACAAAGCACTGAGTTAACAAAATGAAATTTGCATTATAAAATATTCTTTTATGATAAATGTACCGAGACATGTCTTCCTTTAAACATTGATCAATCAAAGATCACTGTAATTAAACATACCAACCAAGTGCTATCAATTTCGGAGGAACTAGTCGGATAATTTAAAGTCGCTGGTTCATATTTTATTGAATGTGATATTTGTGCGATCCTCAATAGATTGCTTTTCATTCATCTATCGTCATCAATCTTCAATTAGTTGAAATATATTTTAATTCTATATTCCTGTATTTTTTAATTTAGGCACTTTGTCGACTACGTGCACGTAGACGTTTACTATTAACTGGGACTCCATTACAAAATCACTTGAATGAATTATGGTCATTGGCTAATTTCTGTGTACCAGGACGTTTAACTTCAAGTTTAGAAGAGTTTCGTCGTCAATTTGTTATTCCATTATTAAATGGTCGTAACTTAGTACAAAATGTTAAAAACAATCTTCACAATAATGATGATGATTGTGATTCTTGGAGTTATACAGACTATGAGAAAAATAGTGATGATTTAGAAAGTCCATCAGCCAAATTATTCCGACTATTGAACAGTTTCTTTTTAAGACGCACATGTGATGTCATTGCACCAAAACTAACTGATAAAAGTAAGTACCTCTAACTTTAAAAAAATTCTTTTTGTGTGAGATAACTCTGTGATTATATGCATATAAATTAAATAGACACGAAACTCCCTGTTCGAGCATTGTATACTACAGTCCTATTGAATTGTCGTGCACACTATTTTATGTATACCAATCTAACTATTATTTATGTGCTAAAGATAATTCGTATGCATCTGTTATTGTGAATGAAAATTGAAAATTACAACAGTGTCACTGAAAAAGTAATTAGTTCTGAGTAATTTCTTTCATATGAAAAGTTAGATAGTGAAATTGGGCTTAATAACTATATAGAAGCCTATGCAGTAGATTTTAAGTCATACCTGTTACGGATTAAAATGTCACTGATTAAGCCAAATTTTTTAGTCGAAAGATATTCAGAATGTGTGACTTACACAGTTCACTACTACATGAATTTTCGTTTGCCATTCACGATTGTATGTGTGAACATGGAGAAAGGCTTCTCGGACTACTCAATTGAATTGAAACGTGACTCAATATCTATGGTACCAAAAGATACAAGCAAGCATATAGACAGATACGCACCATCATATGCGCTAAAGGTCATACATAGGCGACAAAATGACTAGGATGGTTAGGATCATTCATCTGTTCAAAAGTAAGGATAAATCGTGTAGGCGTGTAAAAATTCTAGTTATCATAAATATACACCCTACATTTAACTGCTATACCCATTCTAAAAGATAATCAGGTGAGAAAGATGAGCAACATCGAAGTATTCATCTAGACAGCCGATATAGTACCAGATATTGATTAAGTCAATTCCATTTCTGAGTAATGCAGAATATTGAACAGTCGTAACTCAGATTGTTAAATTTATTTTTCCATAAATAAACCATCAAAGACTTTTCAATATTTGCTTTAGACTAATAACTACCGATGGACTATTATGTAATCACTATTGTGTCGAATTTGTATGCTTTAATATGCAAGCTCGGGTTCATAAGATATAATAAGTAAATTACTAATGGATAGAACGAAATTTTATATTCACTAACCTAGAAGCCAGACTGCTTGTTTTCACACGTAAAGATTCCCTTCGTGATTTTTAATCCCACTTCGTTTTCTTTCTCTTTTTTTGTGCAAAAACTATATTACTTACTAATATTCAGTAACTTAATTTATTTCTAATCATTTTTGAACACATTGCTTATATTGTCAATTGATGATGTGTTAGTTCCAAGTATTTACATCAATTTGTGACATTTAATTCATCCATTATTGTAATCGTATTCTCTCAAGATTTTTTTATCTGCAGAGAATCTCCATATTTAGTGTTGCGAGTTCCCCTTTCAATTTGTTCTGTCATTTTTGAATTGGACACAGTGTCACGTTTTTGTGAACTGCTATTAAAAAGTCATTGTAAAAAGTATTTCCATTTTGATCGTACTTTGAAAATATAAAGGCTTTAGAAATGTCATAGTTTGGAGTTTATGTAAACTTCATTACTTATGTTTATTATGATTACTAATATCGTTTTTCTAGGCAATTCTTTTACTTTAGACTTAGTGACTTTTACGCGTAACTCAATCGTTTCGTCGAAATCTTTAAACGAATTCAATGGGTCTGAATGAGACAGGAAGTGATATCACAACCAGGATATAATGTGCTTGGTTAAATAATCTCGTTAGGCGCACACATAAAACACAAACATGTAGGTACTGACTTGGTATAAAGTAAAAATGGACATTCATCAGTTAAAAATAATTTTGTGCAATGAATGAAGTAAAGACAATTCCAGTTTATTGATATAAGGGCTTCGAGTTTATGTTCCGTTGGTTCGGTGATTCAATAGACGACGCACAATGTTCTGGATTCCAATCGGAGCCGGAACATGTTGGACTTGTTTTAGTTAGACCAATCAAGTAGTGTCATTTGCCTTCACCAAAAATAAGTGGACCTATTCATCCAACTACATCGCGTTATCTTATTTATAACCAACAAAATCTTGCTTCAATAAGCGGGAAAATGAACAACTTTAGGGAGACTGAAACGAAGACCTAGGGAAATCGTATCCAGATTGTCGTCATTCAAAAGCTTTGATTCATAAAAACAACCCATTTCATGAACGTGTCAATGACAAGTTTTTCAAACGACTTACGATCATGAGATTTCGGATCATTGATTCTCTGAACAACTTCAGCGCGTTGTTTATTCGTTGTCTGACCATCTAGTCGAAGAGATGGTTGTCCAGTGACTAGATTGCATAATTTCTCCAACAGATTAAGTGTCTGGAATATGGTCAATGTAAAAAAAGTACAAGATTGATAAATTGACTTATATTTTGAGGTATTGTTTTCATAACATATGTGTGTGGTAGAAAAGAACTCTGTAAGTTTCAACAATGTTTATGCACGACCAATTAGCCGTAGACCGATGTGAGACCTATTGCCAATTTGTGTCATTTGACAAGCCATATCATCATAGTGCGAAATCAGATTAACAAAAGTAGGATGGCGTGATACTGTGAAATCTGGTCGTTTTAGGTTTTATTCTGTTTATATCTATGCGTTCGCATTACTGAAGAGTTCTGTACGAAAACAGAACAGCTGCATATCATTCAACCACTTGGTCTCAGGTTCTAGTCGCGTTTCGTATGTCTCAGTCAAGGAAACAGAATGATATTAATATTACCTATACAAATGATATTATTCAAGGCTGAGTACATAAACATGCACTGATTTATTAATTTGTGGTAATGGATTTATCAATTATTCCTTATGATAGAAATATTCCATCTGCTCTCTCTCCAAATCATTAAATGAATAAAGATACGTTGATTCATCATATTTGTCTAGTCCTTTAGTCCCAACCGAATTCTATCCATCAAGTTACAATGTGGCTACTATTCTTAGTGTCTGGACACCATGTGCACTATACTTTGATGTTAGGTGGTTGTATGTAGTCTCCAGGAAACCCTTGAAAATTCAGGTACGTCTTGCTTACTTGGGTAACTGGCATGAAACTGTTGTTAAACAGGGTTTACTTTCGAATACTTCCAACCACCCAAAATGAATAGATATTTTTCTACCAAAAGTCTGCTTATTTGGTTGTTTTCAACGCATTTTATTCTATATATATAGCTGAACATATTTTGTTTTGTCATCCGAGTAAACTGCAAACTGATTTGGAAGCTATACTTACACAATGGATGAATAATGAATTTAATTTAAGTCGAAATGAATCTCTTAAATTATTCTCACACGATGATGATTATGAAGATTTTATTAAATCTGTGGAAAGCGTATCGTCATCACGTTCAAAACACCATAGTTCCATTTTATCAGTTATAACAGCATTTCGTAAACTTCACAATCATCCATATCTATTAAGAAATTACTTAATACAGTCAAATTCTACACAAAATCAATCAGCTGATCGTGTAAGTTGTTATTTTTTCAAATTAAGAATCTTCAAATTTTGAGCTTTTACAGAACAGATTTTTAGTTGTAATTGTCTTAGTTATAACTGTTGGATATATGTAGTTAATTGAGCTTTATATTTTATTAAAGAAATGACATTTAGACGTATGATGATCCCATAACTTAAACATTCTGCTTCCAAATGTATTAAATCATAGATTTATACAGCTTTTTTCAATGAGATTATCTATGTGGTATTTCTAAATTTTGTATGAACATGTCTTGTTGCCTAATAAACGAATTTATCCCTAGTCATACTCTACTCATTTACTCCATTCTAAAATGTTACTTAAAAAATGCCACTTAATTGTCTTTATTCTGTATTTTTTAAATGGTCTCTAATGTTAAACTAAATGGTGCTGTCATAGTTTGAAATTCTTCATCATACGTATACGTCACAGTCTCTTCATAAAACTTTGCTGAATCAATTTTGATGATCGTCTCATTAGTGGTTACGTGACTGTTATAGTATTGGGTTCCTCGTGAGGCTTGAATGTTCTAGGCTTTATCTCATATGGATTCGTGGGAAGTCACAAACGTAGGAAAAATAAATATTCTGCACATTCTGGTTTGCAATTGTTTATCAGCGTATTTCAGTCCGTGTCGAAAACTACTTTTACATGTAACAAATCTATAAACCACCTAGATAGATCGAGTCACTTAATATTATATATTAGCACTGTAACACATCCCAATAAATTTGATTACATATTTATGGTTATACTTCAGAAGTCGATTCGCTTCATTCTTAACACTGTAGGGCATCCGCAACTCCTCAACTTTTTAGAATTCATTTCGGTAAACTTGAGAAATTAGTATTACCGAACTAATACCAATGTAACTTGATACCTTGTTGCATCAGTTCTCTTACCTAAAATCCACACCGATAAACTTACAAAAATGAACATCATGAAAAGTTAGATATAGTTTATGTCAGTAGCCTAGATTTTAGGCCATGTTATCTAACATGTTCAATCCCAATGGTCCTTTATATCCTAAAACTGTTCAGTCTTTTGTATGATCTACACTTGTAATCAGTAACTTCTCATGGCCATTTGTTAATCCCACTTTTCCATGCATTTCAGTTAACATTATTAATTTTATTATTTATTTTTTATTTTATTTGAACACATAAATATTGGTACAGGGGGGCACCAAATATATATGCGCCACACAAAACAATGATAATTTGAAGAGAAGGAGAAAAGAGAAAAAAAAAGTAATGAACGTGGGGAATTATAAAAAAAGGGAGAGAGAGAGAACAATGGTGGGGGAAACGGAAAGGTACAATCAGAAGAGATCTTTCAGTTAAGGAAGATACAACCACTTTTTATGAAGAAAATAAGAGGTTACAGCACGATCGCCACTGGCTTCTATTCTTAGCCATATCTGATAACGTCTCTAGCCACTGCGTTACACTGTCTCTCGGACCCCAACCAGGGAGTCGTGAAGGACCAACAGAAGCTAGCCCTTTGCAGCTTTCTTTCATACCACCGCACCTTGTCATATACTGACCACCTCTCCTCTTTTTCCAACCAGTCCCAGAGTCGGCAAATAATGCACGACGTGGAATTCTCTGGGACGACATTTGTAGAACATGTCCAAGCCACCGAAGTCGGTGTTTCAAGATGGTGACACCAATTTAATTATCGTCTCTGTGACCGAACACTCGATGTCGAACCTCTGCATTACTGACATGGTGTTGCCACTGGATGCCAGCAATCCTTCGGAGACAACAATGATCGAACACAGTCGTCTAACATCCTCAACTCGGAGAGGCCAGGTTTCACAAGCATAGAGCAAAACTGCTCTCACCGTCGCGTTGTAGATCCGACCTTTTACAACCAGACTAGCATCACGAAGGCGCCAAAGATGGCCCAGATTGGCATAAGCCGCTCTGGCTTTCACTATACGTGCATTGATCTCATCACTCACACCACCACCAGCACTTATGCAGCTACCTAGATACACGAACTTCTCGACTACTTGAATCTGCTGACCATCCAGAGTGAGTACAGGATTAGAATCCTGCCAGTCTTGTATAAGTACTTGGCACTTCGAAGGTGCAAAGCACATACCATACCTACGGACACTGATTGCCAACTGATTAAGTGCGGATTGCATGGCTTGGGCATTATCACACAGTGAGACAATATCATCCGCATACTCAAGATAGATAAGTTTCTCCAGAATATCGTCGATGGCAAAGTTGAAGAGGAATGGTGAGATTGGGCAACCCTGCCTAACCCCACTGCTCGAATGGAATAGTGGAGAAAGGTGATTGTATGCCCTCACTCTGCCTGAGGTGTTTGTATATAGGGCTTTTAGGATGTTAATAAACTTCTCAGGCACACCCTTCTTCAATAGACAATCCCAGAGAACAGTTCTGTCCAACGAACTATGATGAACTATCTGCTTATAGAAAATTAATTTTATTAGTTGGTAACTGAATTCATAACAACGGATGTCTTAAACACACACATACCGTTTGATACATACTGGATACTTAATTACTTTTTCTTCTGTTTATCACGGTAGCTTGCACTTGATCTTAGTACTACTTACTTATATCTCGACGACATGAAATATTTATCTTTCAGGCAACCTTCGATCAAATATTTCAAACCTCTTATAAACGATATGGCAAATCATCTCCTGTTTTATATCCAGGTGATTGTTTCAACTGTTGTTTAAAAGTTAACAGATTTTTAAGTTTTTTCAGCATGTTTAAAAAATCACTCCAAACTAAGTGTTCGAATAATCAACAAAATTGTCAGTCCTGCATGCAGTGGTCTTTTTGAGAATAGAATCTGACAATCCTGTGTAAGTAAGTACACAGTTTCCTCTAAATATTTTCATCGAACAAAATGATTTAAATTAGTTCCTTTAGTTGTGTACATTTCATCATTTTCTTTCCCTTCACACACAGCTACCTACAAAACTAACTGCAGATTTACTCCATTTGTTGAATTCTGAATATTCAATAGTTAAACAAGATCTCTGTTATGCAAATCTAAATGAATTCATTCAATTATCTGGAAAGTTCCATGTTCTTTATATTATGCTAAAACGACTGTTTGACAAACAACTGTCATCTTCGTCCACAGTAAATTTTCAGAAAAAATCTCGACTATCTAACAGTGATACTAAAAATAGTTTACATATTGATGATCGTCTTGTATTAGTTTCCAATTTTACTCAGGTGAGTATTATGTCTTGATTACTATAAACGTTGTTATACTATTCTCTCTATCAATTTATATTACTTCGGTACATAAGAGACAATTATTATATCCCACTGGTACTCAGAAGGTTAACATTGCCGCTTTGAGACAACAGATTTACGTATTTATGTTCAGTGGTTTTCCAAATGATATCAGTTTGTAGTAAAAACTGAAATAAAAACTTCCTTCTCATTAGTTTAGATTTTCCTTGCCATGAATATTATTATAAGTACTATCCTTTCCTATCCACTTTTCATCTCGTTAAATTTTTCTCTACTGGCTGATACAAGAAATACTACTCTGGTACACCACTGTGTTGGTATGGCTTGTCAAATGACACAAATTGGCAATAGGTCTCACATCGATCTACGGCTAATTGGTCGTGCATAAACATTGTTGAAACTTACAGAGTTCTTTTCTACCATACACATATGTTATGAAAACAATGCCTCAAAATATAAGTCAATTTATCAATCTTGTACTTTTTTTACATTGACCATATTCCAGACACTTAATCTGTTGGAGAAATTATGCAATCTAGTCACTGGACAACCATCTCTTCGACTAGATGGTCAGACAACGAATAAACAACGCGCTGAAGTTGTTCAGAGAATCAATGATCCGAAATCTCATGATCGTAAGTCGTTTGAAAAACTTGTCATTGACACGTTCATGAAATGGGTTGTTTTTATGAATCAAAGCTTTTGAATGACGACAATCTGGATACGATTTCCCTAGGTCTTCGTTTCAGTCTCCCTAAAGTTGTTCATTTTCCCGCTTATTGAAGCAAGATTTTGTTGGTTATAAATAAGATAACGCGATGTAGTTGGATGAATAGGTCCACTTATTTTTGGTGAAGGCAAATGACACTACTTGATTGGTCTAACTAAAACAAGTCCAACATGTTCCGGCTCCGATTGGAATCCAGAACATTGTGCGTCGTCTATTGAATCACCGAACCAACGGAACATAAACTCGAAGCCCTTATATCAATAAACTGGAATTGTCTTTACTTCATTCATTGCACAAAATTATTTTTAACTGATGAATGTCCATTTTTACTTTATACCAAGTCAGTACCTACATGTTTGTGTTTTATGTGTGCGCCTAACGAGGTTATTTGACCAAGCACATTATATCCTGGATGTGATATCACTTCCTGTCTCATTCAGACCCATTGAATTAGTTTAAAGATTTTGACGAAACGATTGAGTTACGCGTAAAAGTCACTAAGTCTAAATTAAAAGAATTGCCTAGAAAAACGATATTAGTAATCATAATAAACATAAGTAATGAAGTTTACATAAACTCCAAACTGTGACATTTCTAAAGCCTTTATATTTTCAAAGTACGATCAAAATGGAAATACTTTTTACAATGACTTTTTAATAGCAGTTCACAAAAACGTGACACTGTGTCCAATTCAAAAATGGCAGAACAAATTGAAAGGGGAACTACGCAACACTAAATATGGAGATTCTCTGCAGATAAAAAAAATCTTGAGAGAATACGATTACAATAATGGATGAATTAAATGTCACAAATTGATGTAAATACTTGGAACTAACACATCATCAATTGACAATATAAGCAATATGTTCAAAAATTATTGGAAATAAATTAAGTTACTGAATATTAGTAAGTAATATAGTTTTTTGCACAAAAAAAGAAAAACAATTATGTGGAGTTAGGATTTGGTGTTCATTTTTATGTCCCAAACTTATCATGATTACTATCATTATCTCTACCATTATTGTTAGTGTTTATCATCGTTATTATTATCACACTCGATAACCGTTTTGAGTTACTCATTCAGCATGCAGCTCTTTCTACTTTTTCTGACTTAATTAATATTATTCTACATATTTCGTAATTTCTAATTTTTAAACACACTAGTCTCTCTCTCTCACCCCATGCTGACTATATTTTTTCTGATGATTATTTATCTCAGGATTTCATTTCACTTGTAAACTGATTCAGTTTAACATTTTATCAGTATTGGGGTTGTGGAGATTACTACGTTTTTGATTGAGATCATGAATCGATTGATGTTGGACCACCGTTGGGAACCTGGAAGCAATGAACGGCCGTTTACTCCTAGTATGGGACTCCTCAGCAGTGCGCATCCACGACACGGCTGCGAAATTCTAACCCAGGATTTTCAGTCTCGCACTCGAACGCTTTACTCACTGGACCACTGAGCCGGCATCCAATGGTGTTATTGTCTAACATCAACTAATCCACGAAATAGCGCGACCATTTTCCATTGTACTGAGTTAGATACCTGTCTCTACCCGACATGGGTTAGCTCCACTGGTCACGGCTTCTCATTAGAACTCCGAGAATTCCTTCACGAAGCTAGTCACTATTGAGCACATGTTAATTATGAGTATTAGGGTTGTGGAGAATATTAAGTTTGTGATTGGGATCAGTCATTGAGATCACTTTACGTTAGTCAGCCCCAAGATTAACGATTTGATTTTATATAACAACAACAATTTTTGATTCACATGGTAAAATTTTAAATGATGTACTTTTCCTTCAATCTAGCCAATTTCATGGATTAATTATTTGAATATGAGATAATTGTAGAGTACCTGATGAGAAATTCTTTGAAAAGAATATTCTTCATTCATATAATTGTGTTTTAATATAATGGGGTTTTTTAAGAGTGAAAACAAGCCGTGTGACTTCTAGCTTAGTAAATGTGAAATTTTGTTTCTGTTCACTTTGTTCGATCAATTATTCAGGTATATTATTGCTTAGTTCACGTGCTGGTGGAGTTGGTTTAAATTTAATTGGTGCTAATTACTTAATTTTATTCGATATGGATTGGAATCCAGCAAACGATGCACAAGTAACTCTTTGTTTATTTTTCTGTTCTTATAATTCAACCTCACTCCCTAAAAGTCTGTTTATATAGTAAGTTTTATTCAGCTTGAATATAGATTATTTTAGTATCATGTAACTTACTGAGAATGGGCTTATAGACTGACCTGAACCTTGTAAATCGAATTAGATGGAGGAGTGAACTGTTGAAAATTCATGGTCACTAGTCAAGTAAATTTGCTAATTCTACGTGGAATAAAATTTTCGTACCCCCCTAATATATACAATAATATAATGAATGCAACAATCAGTCAGTTGATTGGGCTGTTAATTGTGATTCAGTAAATATACTAATAAAGAATATAAAGTGTTAACTGGATAAAGGATATTTATCTTGAAAGCAATTTAAAAGGATCCATTTAATGATTAAGAAAGGAAAAACGTAGAAACTTCTTTTGAACTAATAATATTTATTGAGTTATATGAACTCTTATAGCTTTCTCTTTATCTTGAAGCCGAATTTTCGATGCTTAATTTAAGTTGAAGTGAATTTTTTTGATGGTAAAATTAGTTTTTTTATACTTATTTGGTGTCCAGTGTTTACTGGATGAACCTAGTTACGGATTCTTATTGTATGTACGTAGTCCATACTTACCTATAAAGAGCGATTATCAAAATGAAATGGTAGTTGTCTGCACGCGTTGATATCAGCAACTGCATATCATGACGCCCAATCGCTAACCTGTGTTCATTTACTCATAAATATGATCTTAATTAACCAAATACTAATCTCCAATATGTTGAGTTTTCCAGTTATTAAGCTTACTCAACCATTTACATTTACTAAAACATTTCATATTAATTAATTGGTGGTATGCCTCCTACACTAATAAGTATCATAGTTTTTTGTAAAACCCATCACTCAGTATTAACCAATCATCTCAGATGACTAATCTAGATTTACATTTTCATCTATTGTCATGCCTTCTCCAAACTGTATTTGTTCATCTAAATTCATTCAATAGGTGATTATCGTCATACAGTAATCCGTTTTATCATGCAATATTAACAATAAATTCCTGAAAGACCCCAGGTAAACGGATATTAAGGTACCATATCATTTTTCCTTTTACTAAACTTCATTTACTCAAATTTCTACATGTTAAACTCTTATTTTATTTCAGGCTATGGCTCGTATTTGGCGTCCGGGACAGTCTAGATCGGTTAATTTATACCGTTTAGTAACAGCGGGTGGTATGGAAGAACGTATATTTCAACGACAAGCAGCTAAATTGGCTTTAACCAGTCAAACATTAGTCAATACATCAATGTATAATGAAAATCTTTTGGAATTTATTGAGACAAAAAAGAAACCTGATAAAAATCTTGGAATTCTTACTCGTGATGAATTGAAAGTTTGTTGATATTGATTATTTTTGAAATAGTGTTACTTGATGTTATTATTACGTTTTTTTATCATTTAAGTTAGTTGTTAGCTTTGAACGAGTCAGGATTTCCTGTTTTAGATTCCAGTGTTTGATTTTTTAAAATTAAAATCATTGTAATTAAGAATCAAATGTCGATTTAATTTGAAACCCGTCGTCAACCATTAGAAATTATCATCTTAAATAAAATTATACCTGAAGCCCCATCCTTATTTACTGATTATTTGTTTTTATCATGATTTAGAAACTGGTTAGCGCCATTTTCTTATCTAAACAAAGCCACTTTGAGAAGAGAATGATATGTGTTATTCAAAGCATAAATCTGCTCATCTTTCTACGATCCATATTATCTGGTAATATTTACTGTGACCGTATTTCACTACTAATTATTTGTAAGTAGTACAAAGTGTATTACAAAATATAAAGTAATATATGTTTGCTCTTGTAACTTGTTCATTATTTCCTTTTTCTTTCGCTGTTTAGGAATTATTTCTCCTTCCGAATACATCAACAGGGTCATGGACTCATGAACTTATTCAGTGTAATTGTCATCAATCTCTGGAAAAGAAGTCTATCACCCCAAGTCCTTCTCTCTCATCGTTATCAGACATTGAAAACTATGATTCCGCTGATCAAATTGTAGTGAAGACCTTTATAGATTATTCTCATGAACTTGACGATAAAGAGAACAGAAAAGAAGAAATAGAATCATCAGAAAGCACTACTGGTATTACCAATGATGAGAATGAAGATGATGAATATTCCAATATTAGAATATTTCAATTAGGTCCTACAAATCCACTTATTACTGACAGCTTGAAATCACCCAAATCCCAATTCACCTATTTGAAACAACAGTCAGCTTCAATGTCAACGAAAACTCCCAAGTTACCATCATCTGATTCACTCGGTTTTTTATTGAATTGGAAACATTCTTTTTCATCTGAACAAATAGATCAGTTGAATGATCGACTTTTAATAACACATCAATCGGACCCTATGAAATCTTTAATAAACTGTATATTTACACTAAATTCAAAAGCATCTTAAATATTTAGTCTTTTTTAAGTTATCTTTATTATATCCATTAATTTTCTCATCTCTGTTCATGCCTTTCTTGGATAACGACTTGAGTGTATTCATAAACAGTCCTATTTATAATGTATACCATTAAGTGCTGTTTGTGTATTGGGGAAGATGTTCATTAAAATACATATTGTCCTTCAATAAATGAAAATGTAAATATTGTTAAGTTTTTCAGGATAATGCGCCTGGGGTCAAATAAAGTTTGAAGATTGTATTGGCTTCTCGGATTATTTATGTATGGAAAAATATAAATAACCGGTTTTACGGCAAGCAATAATTTGTTCATGCTTAACGTACACTGAAGATAATAAACTCGACAGTAACAATACCAAAATTTCAGCGTATATTTGCATGAAAGTGATCGATTCACCATGTGTGAAACAACAAATGAGTATCAACTTCATAAGAAAACAGTTTCATCAAAATAGTACGAAAAAAAGAATTCATCCTAATTACTCATAGGTAATGTAGTTATGCTACACAAGTTCGGGTGTTAAAGCGAGGATAATTTGATTCACTCAATGAGAAGTGCTCAAAAGTATAACAAAGATGTACTGGAACCTTTTAGTGATTTATCGTTTTCTTTTGATCATTTATTTTATGTGTCTATGGGATTTATACTTTTGATTTAATTGGCAGTCGGGAGGAAAACCTGAACTTAAGCTTCATCCTAGTCGACAGTTTTCAACAACTCGCTACTACTCAGTATTCAGTCAATGTAGGTTTAAAATTGAACTAAATAAACTTTATTTCTTCAGGGTGGTTGGAGTATGCTTTTCTTATGGTAACCAACTAGATGGAACAGTCAGTCTTCTCATAACATCAAGCAGGTGCCGCTAGTGGGCTATCAATGAATAGTCTAACAGAATTCTCAAGTTCAACTAGTGAGATAGTCTAAGGTCATGATCATTTATAATTGTGTTCACGTCATAGTCGATGACGTTCGTTCATCAATCTACTTGTTAGGTGGTTCGACATGGTCAAACCATGTTAACCTGTATCACAGTAACGTGGTAACTGTTAAGCTATTCAGTCTGTGACCGACATGTGGGAATAAGATACAACTGATCGATCCCTAAGTAGTGACCGATGTCACGTTTGCCTAACCCATATGTACTGGTTCAGTTTCCTCAAACGGGTTCGAATGCCCCCAAGGGCAGCAAATTCTTCAAGACTACAGGTACATCTTGCTGATGGATACTGACCAGCACGAAACCTAGGTTCACGGTTTCCTGTCAAAAATCCTCACCCAATTAACATTTCAACATAGTACACTCAATGGCTAATCACTTGGAATAGTGGTCTTATTACAATTAGATCGGTGGAATTCAATCAACAATAATAGCTAGACAAACCTAATATTGGTTCAACCAATTGTCAAATGAGCTACCACTTTGATTTCGTAACAGATAACATAAGGATATATATATATATATATATATATATATATATATATATATATATATATATATATATATATATATATATATATATATATATATATATATATATATATATATATATCAGTTTTACTGCTCCTGTGGAGCTAGTTACATGCAATTGATAATTAGTCAAGTACAATATTATATATTTCTGAACATCATTCTTCATAATGAATCATTGAACTAGTTAAATCTCTAGCCTTTAAAATGGTATCATTCTCAGTTATTTATTTATACCTTTCTATCTATATTGATAACGTTCAACTATTTACTTCTTATTAAATTTATTAATCTTCAAGTTCTTTTATAAGTAGTTCTCACATTGAACACCTATATTTATCATAATTTTATTTACATTACATTCTCACATTAATACAAAAATTTAATTGCGAAGTTGTTATATTCCGATGAGAATGATGAATGGTAACTGTTAGAATCTATTTATGAACTAATACTGTACACATATTTTTATTGTAGAAATGTTAAGCAACTAAACTATTCATATTTGTGTTCTTCTTATTATGAGCTTTATTTTGACTTATGGACCATTAATATACGATTTGCCATTCTTGAGGTATGCTATTAACATCTCCCTCATTCACAACCACTTTCGGCTAAATCTTGTATAAATTTTCTTTCTTATTTTATGGTATGATGTAGTTTATTTAGTTGGTATATAAACCCAGTATGTTTGAAATAAATAATTCATATTGCATAGGCTGAGATTGGTGATCTGGACTTAACTGATTAGGCTAGTCAGGAGGCAGGACTGATGCATCATTGGTACGGTGGATAATTTACTATTCTCTAATTCGTGGTATTATTACGTCATATATTAAAAGGACACAGGGCACAAGTTATAACAGAAGCAATTCTAAGAAAATCAATTTAAACAGAATTTATCAAAATCCACTAAATTATGAATAAATATATTTGAGGAGGATAATAGAAATTTCTTTTTTTTTTCAAAACGTAAAACGTGTTTACTTTTTATTCATTTAAGTAGTATAATTCATATTTTATAAATAAATAATATGATATTTCTTTTTAAATAATTCAAAATTTGAAATATCATTAAAATTATAATTTTTCGAATTTGATTTATATTTTTTCAAATTATACCAATCATATTTTGAATTAATATTAAGATTAGAGGTGAATTTATTAATTTTTATTATATTCGATTCATGATATTTATAAGTAGTATGATTGGACTGGGTATTAGTAATTAAAGAGGCTTGTGAATTCATTGTAGTGCCATATTCTACAAAAAAAGGTGTTTTCTTCTGTTTATTATTATTATTATTATTATCATGGGTGAAATCATCAGAACTATATTTTGTCTTGTGTAAATATTCCGACATTTCGACAACATCTTCGTTGACTTTTTTACGATCCCGAGATAAATCATTAGTAGTTCTACGCATAGATTGAAGTTGTTGACCAGAATTTTGGACATATACTTTTTTGCCATAATTTGTGAATGGAACGTTTGTACATCTTTTTGAAATTAAGCCATATAGATTACATAATGATAATCGTTTACAATAATTTAGGATTACAGTTAAATGTGTATAAAGATTTGATTTGAATTCTTTTATACCAAAAAATAGAATAATAGCTCTTATATATATTTCAATGAAATTTATAAAACGTAATGCAGATTCATAATTACTTAAATAGATCTCGTAAGGTTTTAATAATTCCATAATATAACCGATAGTATTCAATATACCTTGATCTGTTTGATTCTGAAAATCATCTTGTTCATGATTATGTACATTATTACGATTTGTTACTCTACCTAGAATTTAAAGTGAAAATTAACACATTGGAATATAGATTTATGTATGCTTTAGTAGTTGAGATCATGAGTCGATTGAAGCTAGACCACTAAGGAAAGCTGGAAGCACTGGACGGCTGTTTCGTCCCAGTTCGAGACTCCTCAGCAGTGCGAACCCACGATCGCGTCTCGCGAGATCCAATCCAAGACCTATCAGTCTCGCGCGCGAACGCCTAACCTCTAGACCACTGAGCTTGCTTGCATCCAACAATGTTAATGTGTAACTTCAACTAATATGGAAACTGGGCGACACATCCACCATTGTCTTCAGTGAGTTACTATCTCACAACTGACCCGGTTGAACTTCACTGATCACTGTTTCTCATTAGAACTCTATGAAAAACCTCTTGAAGTCAGACACAATGATCTTCCAAGTTCTTCTCATATGTTCTGATATTATTCTGCGCGTAATATATCTTTACTGGAAATATCTTTAAATAACAACAACTACAAAATATTTCATCGACCACGAAAATGTGTCATAATTAGAATTTCAGTCAGGTACATAACTATTAAATAATTACTGAATTTCACAACAATGTATGTTTAGTCCCTATTGTTTACTATTCATTAGCTACCTAGGTTTTTTGAAGTCTTGTAAACTCTAGGGTATCACTCCTAATATCTCACTTCACTTATGGCTGAGGTCATAGGCTCTATTAGATAGTATGTTTCTACATATCTCTGCTGCTATTACCCATCCAGTTTTTTTATTGTTACTGTTTAATTTTAAATAAAAAAACTTCTAATTACAATCATTTTTACGATAGAATATGTTCGATATATTAGAATACCATAAATATTATTGCATCGAAACTTTTAAATAAAATTTTATGCTACTTTAAATAAATTTCAGTAGTACTAAAAATTTATAGAAATTTTTCTTCGAACTTACTTATATAAAAGAAATATTTCATTAAATAATATAAACATCGTGGTATCAAAAATATTCCATGAATAATACAAATTAAATTAAATACTCGAATTATTTTCATAATCCATTTAATATATGACAGATTATAATCTTTATTATATTTTTGTTTATTGTTATTATCATTAATGAATATAGTTAAATATTTCTCTTGACTATTATCATGATGATGATGATGTGACATATTATTGATTTCTTTCTGATATTTAATTACTCGAAATCGATATAATATATAACTAATTAATCCACTAAATAAACATATAATACATGGTAATATATCACCAATTATATGATCTAATAATGGCCATATATAATTTAAAAATATTGGACTTAATATCCATGTTAATGCAAAATCACATTTATATATATTATGTAATATACGTTCATGTAATATAAATGTTTCTAATTTTGATAAATCATATGTCCATATAAATTGACAATTTAATATAATTGTTATAACAATTATTAATATTAATATATTTTGTATATATTGTTTTATTTGTTTTAATGTTTTATTTAATTGTTTCCATGGATACAAATATAATTTCATTGTTTCAATTGTAAAAATTATATATAATATGGAATGTATATGTTTTATTAAATTATATAACATTGGTATAATTTGACAATAAAAACGTCCAAAAAATTGTATCATAATCAATAATTTAATTTCATAATAAGATTCAATAATAAAATCAATAAAATAGATTATTAAATCAAATTGATCCAGTAAAATAATATAAAATAAAAATATTATCCATGGTATTTGTTTATATAATATTTTTATAATTGTATTAGTTATTATAAAATTGATAATTAATCCAAATAAAATTAATGGAATGATTAAATAATTAATTAATTGATTTATTATTATTTGATTATTTTGTAATATTATTGATTTATTTTCCAATTCAATCGATTTTATTGATTTATGTATATTTAATGAATCAATAAATG